ATGTTTCACAATTGGCCAATAATAACGTGTTATTCAATTTCATGTGACGACCAATCACGAGAAAGTTATCCTATATGGATCAGCCCGACATGAATTCCGAACACGTGCGAAAGAAGAAAAAAGAGAAAATACTCTAAAACTAGTGTTTAAATCGACCTTGGTTCACTAATTAAAATTTTCGAAAACGAAATTTTACATATAACGAGTAACAATCTATTGTTATAGCCTCTAATGTTAATGCTCTAACCCTAAACATATATCTTTACGCACTTACAAAATTCGATTTCTTTTTTTGGTTTGTGTTACTCGCGCACATGCTAAGTTGTCTGTAGTCACGTGACTAAAGATCGACAAAACCTGGCGAAAGGTGGTCGATTTAAACAATCTTGTATGTACATACCTATGATGTTAGAGAAAATTCTGAAATGACAGAACAACCACCCTCCACTCCGAATGAGAGGATAATTGAAAGCTTATTAGGGCCTACTGATCAGGTATGGTGATTGTATTTTTTTAGTTCTTGTAAGACCATTCAAGGTAATGTGTTATAAAACATTTCATGTTTTCATTAGGCATGTTTGTGATAAAAGAAAGTTGAAGTTAAGATTTTTCTATGTAGGATGATATCACCTGAATGAGTGGTCGTTAACAGTTCATATTTTAAGTGTCAATAACACAAGAATAAACATGTTATTAGGACTTTGATGAAGATAACGAAGATAATTTATTTGGAGACGACGATTGGGAAATCTCATTTGATGAAGTAGATGGTATGGAAGTTATTTCTTGAATTTGTTGAATAAATTAGATTGCATGTTAATAATAATATTTGATTATGTTTAGACCATATTTCCGAATTCCAGGAAGATGAATTTGTGCGCGAAGCATTTGCTAAGGTGATAATATACAAATTTCATGAATTAAATTATTACAAGTGAAATAATTCTATATTACCTTTTTTTAGGGAATGGATCTGCGAGAATATGCACGAAATATAGAAAAAGAATTGAGTGTAATCGAACGGGAACATGAAATAGATTGTATCCTTTAATGATTTAAAATCTTCTTGCTAGTAATAACACAATCGTAAATCCTTGACGATTTATATTGATCAGATATTAATCAAGCTAAAAATTTCATAGAACTTCATAATCAGATACAGGTAATGATTAATAGAATACTTGATTTATTATTTACAAAGAATCGAATTAAAATCTAACAATATTTTCATAAGTCGTGCGATCAAACTTTAGCAACGATGGAAAATATGTTGAGCGTTTTTCAAATGGATTTGGGTAACATTAGCACAGAAATCCAAACATTACAGGATAAATCATTTTCAATGAACATAAAGCTCAAGAATCGAACGGTATGTATTTAGGGTATCAAAATGTATTTAGGGTATCAAAGATAGTATTTATAGGTTTATGAGACAAAATAAAAATTTAATTTTGTTGTAGGCTGTGGAAAAAAAATTAAGCACAGTTCTAGAAGGAACTGTAATATCGCCGTCCATGATCAAGTAATTTATTATTTAAGAATGAGGTTACATAATTAATGCAACACGAATTAATGTTCTTCATAATTCGTTAGAGTAATTACGGAGGACGATGTTGACGAAGCATGGTTAGCGTACTTAATGGAGCTTAATAAAAAAATGACCTACGTAAAAAATGGACAAACAAATAACGTTAAGGCGATTAGAGATGTCGGGCCAGAAATGGAAAAATTGCGTCTAAAGGTATTGTTACATTTAAATTTTGATATATTGGGAAAATAATCATAGGTCTTTAATTCTTGGTAATTAAACTTAGGCAACCGAGAAAATTCGTGACTTTCTTTTGAACAAAATACGGTCACTCCGCATACCAAACACAAATGTTCAAATTCTGCAGCAGTCCGTTTTGTTAAAATATAAAGCACTTTATCAATTCGTGATAGAGCGATATAGTGAAGTTGCATTTGAGATAATGCATAATTATATAAATACCATGAGATGGTACTTTTTCAATCACTTTGAGCGATACAATCGAACTTTGCAAAAACTTCAAGTGAGTGTTATTTCTTTTTTTGAATTTATATTATTATTTTATTGATTTATCTTTCGTTACTTTGAATGTTTTTAGAGCCCAATTGGAGATAAATTTTCATTGATTGGATATGATGAAAATACTAGAAAGGGTATTAATTATTATCGAACCAAATTATTTAGTTATTTAGCAATGCTCATTAAGAATGTTATTATTTTCTAGGTGGCCTATTTGGATCCGGTAAAATTGCTTTACAAGACAAGACAAGCATGTTTGCATTAGGTGATAGAATTGACACACTTCGTAATCAAGATGCTGGTGTAATCTTGGTTCATGTTGCTGAAAATAAGAATCAGGTATGTAAGTGCTCAAATATATCAGATTTATGTAATAAATAACGAAATAATAATATTTTTGTAATAAATAATGAATAATATATTTTTGTTATATAGAAATATCCATACGAAGCATTATTCAGGAGTTTCAATTTGACATTTATTGATAATGCTAGTTCAGAATATCTTTTTATTGTAGAATTCTTCGCCAAGGATGACAAACCCAACGTCGATTGGGCAAGGGATATTTTTGCAGAAATTTTTGATACAACCATCAAAATGGGCTTGGTTCGTACATATGCTTACCGTCTTTAATAAAATAAACTTTGGTTTTTGATAATAATCTTATTAATAAGCTTTTTTATTTGATAGAATTCTACAAAACAATATGTTGAAACCACTTACGATGCCATCGGCATACTTCTCTGTATTCGACTCAACACACAATTTGCATTGGAATTACAGAGAAGACGTGTTCCTGCACTTGAAGGATACACCAATCAAACAAATATGTTATTATGGCCTAGATTTCAAGCCATCATGGACATGCAAATTGAAAGTCTAAGAAAGGCTACAAACAAATTAATAGTTAAGGATGTCCATCCACATCATGTGAGTCGTGATACAATGTATTTTTATTACAAAATTCTATAACTTATATAGATTTCGTAAACTTTACAGATAGCACGTCGATATGGTGAATTTTCAGCCTCTATATTAATACTTAATGAAGATTATAATGATCCAATTTTGTCGAATAATCTGTTGAGATTACGGAATGAATTGGAGCAATTTCTTGAAAAAATGTCAAAAACTTTTGATGAATATAAAAGTAGTTTGATATTTCTTATTAATAATTATGATTTGATAATTACAATTTTGGGAGTAAGTGGTTATATATTTTAAAGTTATAAGTTTTTCATCAAACAATCAACAACTAATGTTGTCATTACAGGAAACTGGTGGAAAAGCTGTTGAAGCCGAAGTTAATCATTTTAGAGAGCTTTTAAACGGTCAAATATCAGGATTTGTGGAAGAGGAATTGCAACCTTATTTTGGCAGTTTAATATCTTTCATTAAGCAGGTAGATCAGGGAAAAGATATTACTGCCATTGATTCAGGTATGTTGTTTAAATTTATATATTTATTTTAATATTCAATTTATAAGGATTTAATTTTTTATGCACAAAATGTGTGAAATTAGGTGTTTTTGATCAGATTTCTTCAGATTTTGCCGCGACTTGGCGCCAATCCATAACTTCTATTAACACATCAGTGATTCAACATTTTTCGAATTTTAAGAATGGTACATCCATATTGCATGCAGTTTTAGGACAATTGATAATTTATTATACAAAGTTCTGTAACATACTTGAAGAAAGAATGAATGATGGCAGTGTAAGGATCAAGCATCAACCTGTTGGTGTACAGAGTGTTATGGTAGAAATAAAAAAGTTTCGAAGTAATTTTTAAATGTTTGACGTTTTTGTTGAGCATATAGATTTTGTATAGTGTATATTAAAAAGACTTTAATGTTTTTTATAAAATTTATTTTTTTGATTTTAATTATTTTCAACAGAATTTAATTAATTAATACTTTTATACTGTAGTATTTATTGTCACGGATGATCGTGAAATCGGATGATGGTGAAATTTGGATCTATTTTATGTACGATTTTTAAGAATTTTTGGGGCCTTTTTTGTTGGCTTTTTTTTTACAGTTAAGTTAGGATTTAGGGTTAGAGTTATTAGTAAAAGAGTATAGGTGGATTTTGGTAGGGCTTATAGTTTCAAATCGAGACCCATAAATTTCACCATCATCCGATTTCACGATCATCCGCGACATTTATTAATACAAATAACTATATTATAAAATTTTTTTATATGTTAAAATTTGATAATTTTTATTGTATATTAGGCTATACAAACTTATATAAATGGTTTTCATACTCCGGCCGGGTCAGGAAAGTGGGAATCCAAAAAAAATTTTTTTAATATATCAACCAATAGAAATCATCATGCGATCAAATCAAAGTTGAATCATTGCACAAATACAATGAGTTCTTGCCAAACAGATGAATGTGTATTTCACTCCAATCTTTTTTTTTGCATTAATCTCATTGATCTATCGTAATATGTGTACCGCCTAAATACATATTATACGTGATCGATCATGAATCATTTTGTCAGCACTTTAAGCAAACTTAACACTATTCAGCTGTACATTACCGTATAGCGCTGCATAGTGCAGGTGGTACATATAGTGATGATCATAAATTTTTTAATCAGTCGTCGTGGGAGCGTAAATAGTAAAAACATAATTGCAATAACCCTTGAACAAGCCAATCTACACAAATAAAATTATATTTGTCGGATTTATTCTAGAATGCTCTTTAAAGTAACAACGTCTTTTTTTTATTTATTTATATTGTTTAAAACCTAACGGAGGACTTAATTTCCAAGCAAAGTTGTAGAGCTAATTTTTCTGATTCTAATGGTAGTAAAATCATCAAAATCTGTTGGATATATCATGAGATACGAGTATTTTTCAATCGGGTTTTTTCTTAAGAAACGAAGCACATGGCATTCCACTTACTATATAAGGGTCGGCTAAAGCGGAACTAGTTTTAAAAATTTACCTAATTTAACGTTTATTTTTTTAATATTAGGGTTAGGGTTAGACCATTTTGATATTATATTTAAGAGAGGTTATAGGTAAAATTGCCTCCCTAACGTTTTTTATTAATGTACCAAAGTAGGTTTTGACTACTGTTTCTTATATTTTCTAATTTTTCTCTTTTTTTCATATAATCACATGTTTTATTACTTGAGAACTTTTTAAAAATATGTTTTTATAGAGGTATTTTTTTATATATTTAATAATAATAAATTATTTTAAATAAAAATGTAATATAAAGAAAGTTTTTACATCATGTGATTATAGGTGTGATTGTATGGGGGTTGATTATATAAGGTAACTATGAAATTTGTTCCCTTTAACTACAAATTACCAATTAAAAAAATTTAAAGTTTATTTTGACAAAAAAATTTCTTTATTCCAAAAATTCACATAAAAAACTAGCTTTTATATTTTGATAAAAAAATTTTTTTAACTAATTTTTATTACATATTCTTTATTATTAAATGCCAAATATAAAATTTTAATTTTACTAAATTTTAAATATGATATTTTATAAATCATTACAATAAAAATTTGTAGTTAAACTTATATCAAATAAATGCATATGATATTAAAAAAAAATACTAGCTAGTTAATAATATAACTATAGTTTATTATATGAAAATTATTATTTTTTATTTCTGATTTATACAAAGTTTCAACCTCAATAATTAATCTACTAAATAAATACATATAATACTAAAAAAAAACATATATCTTTTTATTAATATAAGTTTTCAATATTACTTATTTATTATATTTCACATATTTGTTAAAAAAACTATCAGATATTTGGAATGATAATATTAATAAGATTTATAAAAGAGATAATAAAGTATAAATAAGTATAAAAAACAAATAAAATAATATAATCTATAGTTAAATATTTCAGTTAATATTTATAGATTTATTTTTTGATACTTACTTATACAGGAACAGTATAAACTATCTTATAGATGTATGTGATAATGACAAGAACAAGAATTATATTCTCTAGATGATAATGTTTGCAAATTAGTTTTTTAAATAATAATTATACTAAAATATTTGTTTTTTAGATGATAGTATTAACAGATTAGTTTCTTCAAATAATAGTAGTTTCTTTAAATGATAGTATATACAGATTAATTTCTTTAAATAATAGTGCTTGCAGATTAATAATGCTTGCTAATTAATTTTAATAATGCTAAAATATTAGGTTTACTAAATAATAGTACTAACAGATTAGTTTTCCTAATAATGATATTTGCAAATTAATTTCAAATGATATTAAAATATTAAATACTTCAGATAATAGTACTAACAGATTAGTTTTCTCAAATAATTATACTTGCAGATTAGTTTTCTTAGATAATAATACTTGCAAATTAATTTTTGATAGTGCTAAAATACTAGTTTTTTTAAATAATGATGCTAATAGATTAGTTTTCTAAAATAATAATACTTGCAAATTAGTTTCTCCAGATGATAATAGTACTAGTAGATTGCTAATTACTGTATTATCAGATTGCTAATTACTGTATTATCAGATTGCTAATTACTGCATTATCAAAAATTAATTTATTGTCTTTAAAATTAATACAGTCTTCCTTCTCTATAATCACACAGTTTGTATCAAGAAATTGGTGATTATAAAAGAATGTAATTATATAGAAGTTTTTTTTTAAGTTTTTTAATAAATTGTCTCAAAAATTAATGTGATTATATAGAAGTTGTGATTATATAGGAGGTGATTATAGAGGAGAAAGACTGTAGTATTATTGATTATATCTAATTTATTTTTCTTTAACAAGAGTTTAGTATTATTATTATCTAATATATATAGTTTTTTCTGATAGTTTTGTATCTATATTAGTGCTAACTTATTTTTTAACTATTAAAATTATTTCTATCTGTTTAAATATATTATTATTAAAATTAATTTAAAGTAACTGTTTTTTTAATATTTACTTCTAATATTGTAATAGTACATTATTATAAATTATTATATTACTAGCATTTAATTTATTGTTTTTAAAAACAACTGCATCTTTATTTTATTTTTTTTTAAAGAGTGAGACCTAATCTCAGTTTTTTATTGATAACATTTTATATTATTATTACAATTTAATATCAAGATATTTTTATATATTTTGAAATTAAGCTATTTAAAAACTTTCGACTAAAGCTAGTTTATCTTCAGCCTAGGCTCTACTAAGAGAAAGCACCAAGTCTTTACTCAGATTGCATTTGATATATTGTGTTAGAAGATGCATTATGCATGTAGTATTGTTTGGTCCATTTTATCCATTTATTCTAAGCTACTTGCTGTGAATTATAGTCTGTGTTCATTTGTATATTTTGTTAGTTTGTATTTTGTATTGGGTTGTTATTTGTATTTTGTATTTGGTTATTATTTGTTGTTTGGGTTGTAGTTTTGCAGTGGTTTTTTCATGTTTGGTTGTAGATCGTTTTGCAGATCTTGTGAAGTAGTTTGACGGTATTGAGTTTCGTTTTGTTTGTAATAAGTGTAATTGATTTTAAGTCTTGTTTGAATACATCTGTAATGAGACCTTGGATTAATGTTATAGTATTGCCATTGGCTGTAGGGTTAAAATTGTTGAAAAATCTATTTATAAATTCTTGTTTTTCACTATTTGTTGCTATATCTTTTTGATTTTTATCTATGAACTTTCTAACTATATTGTTTGTAAAGATGTTTATATTAGTTGGGTTCATTGAGCATGTTAGCTAGTGTGTGTTCGATTCATCTTTTGCATTGCACATTTTGCATTAGGTTTCTGGGTATGTGTATAGATTTCATTTATTTAGATTCTGTAGAGTTGGCAGTTCATCTAGAAGGAGTTTTAGTTTGAAAGCCTTCAGTTTAAAGTGAGTTAGATATGTTTGTCAAGCTGTTGGTTTGTCGTTATAATTAATGAATGCATATGTTAATTTCTAGTTGATGCTTTGTATGTTGGTCCACTTTTGTGTCTGATTTTGCAAGTATCACATAGCTAAATTTTTTGCATTTTGTATATTTCTTATTAGTCTTCTTGTTTTTTGTATTGTTGTGTAGTTGAACCATGTGAGCATATATGTTGTGTAATCGACTTGTTGGAATTGTAGCATTATTTCTTGTATATTAGCATCGAAGATTGTTTTGGTATGTAATTTTGTGAATGCAAGAGATTCACTTGATATTGATATTAGTTCTAATTGGATATCTTTCCTTGCTATAAATATAAAGATGTTGGTCCAGTATGGCCAATATTGGCTTTTTGTTATGATGTTCTTTTTGTTGTATTTGATTATATTGTATTGTTGATATGTATTTATAATGTGGTTGCTGTTGTAAATATTTTTAGTGTTGTTTTAATTAGTGTGATAGCTATTAGTATTAAGATTGCTGTTAATATCGCTGTAGTTTTTGATAGCCAGTTTGTAATTTTGTTAGTTAATTTGATATTAGTTTGGCAAATTTTCTAGGTGAATCCGTATATGGGTTGTTCGGTGTTCATATCTTTATGTGTTGTTATTATTGCATGTATTGCTTTGTTCATGATCATATCTTTTGCTATTTTAATTAATGTTGTATTGATTAAGGTTTTTAGAAACATACTATTGCATATTTGTAGTGTTAGTAGTAGTTTTTTGGATGCTTGACTAGTTAGGGTATGTTGTTTGATCTGCTGTGAAGTGTTTTGTTATCGTGTATATTGCAGTGCTTTTTGTATCTCTTCTATATTGCTATATATACGTTTACTATAGTTTACTTGTATTGTACTATAGTTTGTTGAGATTGTTTGTATAG